CAAGGGCTGCACCCAGGCACGAGGCACGAGACTGAAGCACTGAAGCCAGTGGTTCCAGCAGCCATCCCAAATCCTTTCTCCTGGTGCTGCTGTGTCAGTACTGTTCCTACTGGAGGTAGGAGTCCAGGGATGGTCTGTTGGGAGATTCCTGTCTAGGGTCAGGGCTGGAGGGCTGGGAGCCAGTCCTGGGCACTGCAGGGGTGGGGGTTCTTCCTGGGGCTGGCGTGGGGCTGTGTGGACAGTTGGGAAATACTGGGAGTGCTGATGTCCCTTATTTCCCTCTGGCTCCCCATCTCTCCCTAGGAGGTGGTGGGAAAGGGAGAAGGCAACTGCTGGGAGCAAGATCATTCACCATGGAGGAGAACAGCACAACAAACCTCACCCTGAACAACACCATTTATGGATCTCTGGATTGGGAGGAATACATCAGATCTGAATGCTCCCGCATTCCCTCCAGCCTGATTGCCTTTGCAGGGGTGTGCCTGGGGATCTCCCTCTGTGGGCTGGCAGGGAATGGGGTGGTCTTGTGGTTCCTGGGCTTCCACACAAAGCAGAGCCCTTTCACTGTCTACATCCTCAATCTGGCTGTTGCAGACTTCTCCCTGCTCCTCCTATTTCTCCTGCTTCTGTTGGCTTTTCTGTCCTTGGCAGCCTTCTGCACATCTTTGTTTCCTTTTATTCATCACTATCAGCGTTTTGTGTTTGTCCTTGGGTTCCCGTGCCACGTGTTTGACCTGAGCAGCCTGGGGCTGCTGGCAGCCCTCAGCGTGGAGCGCTGCGTCTCCATCCTCTGCCCCATCTGGTACCGCTGCCACCGCCCCCGGCACCTCTCGGCCGCCGTCAGCGGGGCCCTCTGGGCCCTCGCAGGGGCTTTTGTTTGCTCCCTCTACCTCACCTCTACCTACACTGAAGACTCTGGGACCGTCCTTGCAGGTGTAGCCCTCGCCATTTGCGTGGTTTTTTCCCTCATGATGTTGGTTTCCAACCTGTTCCTGTTCCTCAAGCTGCGCTGTGGCTCCCGGAGGCGGCAGCCGGGGAAGCTCTTTGTGGCCATCCTGCTCAACGTCCTGCTGTTCTTTGCCTTTGGCATCCCTTTCTGCGTGGAGGTTTTCCTCAATCTCCCTGATTCCGGTGATTTATTCCCAGAAGACCCCTCTTTGTTCCTGGCATTGCTGAACTGCTCCCTCAACCCTGTGATTTACGTGCTGGTGGGGAGCTGCCGGCGGCGCCGCTTCCAGCGCTCGGTCAGAGTCGCTCTGCGGAGCGTGTTCGAGGAGAAAGCCGGGAGTGACGAGGGGAGCCACGGCCCTGGGGACACTGTGGTGGAGGTGACAGCTCTGTGAGGCACTTCTGCACATGTGGCACCTCAGAGACAGCCAGAAGTATTGGAGCACATGGCTCTGAGCTCAGTCCTGTTCCTGTATTCCCCATGGAATGACCCTCATTGCCTTGGCCCCAAGGAATAAACTCTGATGTATTGATCTTTTTAATTTTGTTGCTTCCTCGAAATCAGATTTGGATTTTTTTCTTTTTGTCTCTTTTCAATGTGGTAAATCCTGCCCCAGATTTTATTGAATAAACAACATCAGGGATTTGCTGCAGAGTTTGTCCCTGGTAAACAGCATCAGAAACTGGCTCATTTCCTTAGTTTTTCCCATTCTAGAGCCTCTGGATTGTCTGTGAGGAGGGAAAGTATCTGTCTCACACCAGAGCTCTTCCAAAGGCTAGTGCCTGCAATGTCTGGAATGAGCCATCTGTTGACATTTCCAAGAACTGCTCATTCCTTCTAGGAAAAGCAGTTTGTCTCTGTGTCAGGTTCTTCTTAGCAAATCTAATCCTGAAATCTTGTCTTTGAACAGGCTCAAATCGCCACCTCGCATTGCACAGGTGGATTTTTCAGACTCTGCAGGACAAAACCTATGATTTCTGTTTCAAATATAATTTTGCCACATAATACCCCAATTTCAGTGGACATTCACCACACAGTTTCTAAGAGGATTCATGCAATAATCAATTCTGTGTGTGAGCTGGAGCACTGGCACACAGCAGAGGGATGATTTCGGATTTCAGCAATGTCATTTCTTCTGAGAAGAGGCAAATCCATGCTGCTCTCTTGGCATTAATCCTTAGAAAGTTGCAGGTATCATCTGAGTCATCCTCTACACTCCCCTGGCAGTCAGACAGTAGCCTACAATGAATTCCAAGGAATTCCTAGAAAGCTGAGGTGAGATGATTCCCACCCAGGCTGACATGTGCCTCAGGGATCTGGGATGCTCCTCCTGGAAACTGCTGGCCCTGGGACCAGAGCTGTCACCTCTCTTCCCTGCTGACACCGTGTTTGTGTCCCCAGCTATGGAATCTCACATCCCCTCACCAGCCCAATCCTTTCAAGGGCAAACACTTCATCATCCAGGAGCTGATGGGGCTCCAGGAGAGTTGGAGAGGGACTTTGGACAAGGGCATGGAGTGACAGGACAAGGGGGAATGGCTTCCCACTGACACAAGGTGGGGTCAGATTGGATATTGGGAAGAAATCCTTCCCTATGAAGGTCCTGAGGCCCTGGCATACATTGCCCAGAGAGGCTGTGGCTGTCCCTGGATCCCTGGAAGTGTCCAAGGCCAGACTGACATGGATGTGGAGCAATCTGGGATAGTGGAAGTTGTCTCTGCTTGCAAAGGGACAGTCAGGGATCAGGTGTCACAAACAAGCCCAAATGTTCCCAGGACTGAGGAGGAGGAGGAGCAGCTCTGGTGAAGGGCTGGCAGGGGGTTCACAGCACCCTGGTCCCTGATAGCTTTCATTGCATCATCAAGGGCATTGGCAGTAATCAGGGTGGGCTCCAAGTGCTGATAGCCTGGCTGCAAGCAACTGAGTGCTGTCCTTCCCTTGGGCTCTATGAGCCTGCACTGGAATGACAAAAATGGGAATTCTTGCCTCATTTGTGCTTCCTTGGGCACAGGGGACGTTTTGGCAGTGGTTCTGGAGCTCTTCCCAGAATGGGAGCAGTTTCTGACAAGCACCCAGATGCTTCACCAGCACTGCCAGCACTGCCAGCAGCATTCCAGTGCCACCAGCACCACCAGCATCCCTCTGCTGCTGGACAGACAGTGACCCCTCAGGGAAGAGAAACACGTAATGGTAGAGAGAGAGAGAAGGCGGTTGGAGTATGGGACATTCTGCAGGGAAGGAGTGTTTCTAATCAGAAGGAAATGAGGAGCCATTTGCAAAATTCTTCATGTGAACTTTTAAGAAAAGCCACTTTCTTTGTGGCAAAGAAAAAAAATATTCAAGATAAAAACCTGAGAGGGAGTGGAGCTCTGACTCATACCAAAGCTGTAAAACAACTTCAGACTGCCCTATGACCCCACTGAGCCTGGAGGAGCAACACGAGGACAGAGCACAGAGAGGAGCCAGTGGGGCAGGAATGAGGAGCTCCTGGTGAGCTGGGCACTTTCTCCTTCATGTCCCTGACCTGCCAGGAGCCGCTTTAGGACATGGATCCCAAAGGAGCAAGAGGTGCCAGGAAGCGCCGCTGATCTGCACAGAGCCCTTTGCCTGCTGCTGCCCCACAGGGAACAGGTCAGTGGAATGTTGGCCTTCCTCCCTACCCCACCTTCCTCTCCTGCAGCAGCTGCTCTGTTCCTGCCACCCTCTCCCGCTGACCCCAGGGCCCTCCCCAGCTCCTCTCTCTTCTCCTGTGCATCCTGTCTGTGTCCTAATACTGAAATGGGCCAGAACAAACTTTCTAACACAATGCAAAGCATGAGGAAGCAGGAATTCTTGACCTGCACAGGACACAGAGGGATCTCTCCTTGTATTGTGTGTATGGTGAGGCTTTACAACAGGGTATTAATCCATTAGAACCACATGTAGGCATTGAAAAGTTTTTCTTATCTAATACATAAACACCATTTTCCTAGAACTCATTTCCATGCATCCACCTCCTCCTGCAAGTCCTTTCATGATCCTGGAGTTTTATTCAGAGGGGTCTCTCTGGTGGTCATATTCAATGAATGCTGCCATATTAAAGGTGCCCTTGCCTTGAACTTTTCCTCTGGCCATGCACTGTTGCTTCCTGTTCCAGAATTTGCCCCCAGAGCACTGCAGGCCTCCTGATCTGTTTCTGCACTGGTTCTAGCCCCATTTATCATCCTGTGTGCCTTTACATCCTCTGAGAAACAACCACCAACTTTTTTAAATTTTAAATGGTTAATAAACCTTAATAAAAATGCAACAAAAGGACTAAATAAGGGGAAGCAGGCCTGGGAGCTTCCCTCATGGCTGCCCACCACGTGGCTGGCTGATCTTCAAGATGGATGCTTCACCTCTGATACCCTGGGGGTTGCATCAGCTAAACCTGGCCCCTCCCAAAGTCTGTCAGTCAGCCCTTCTTTGTGTTTATTGCTGGAGCCTGCTTTCTTGCAACTTGACTCGAGGGTCAGGTGCTCTCATGCTGCACCTCTTCCCCCCCCAGCAACAGGCTTTTGTACACCCCTTCTTTCTACCTGTCCTAGATGACTCAGGCTCTCTAATGGAAAGAGTACAGAGGGGAGAGAAGGGGACTATGGGGAGAACAGGGAACATCTAAACAGCAGACTACAATAACATAATTATATATCAATCAAGCTTCTCTTAATATTCACACAGTATTCATCCCTTAACTGTGAGAGCCAATCATCTCATTATCCATCTATAACAAATCGTTCTAAATTTTGGCCACTTTGCTTTTGAACAACTTCAGAAGAACTGAAATGTTTATTCTCTATGTTATTTATCAGCCTCCTGCCGAACAGCCCAACCCTCCCTCCTCCCTCTCCCATCCCACCATTTCCACCACCCTCCTCCCCTGCACATCTCACTCCTCCCCACTGAATCCTTCCCACTGCAGGGAGCTGCTGAGGAGCCACATGGTCCATCCCTGGGTTCTCCAAGCACTGACTGCCCATCCACTCTGACCACAGCCAGGGGCCACATCCCACTGCCTGCCCAGCGTCCATCCATGGAGGTGACCACTGTGTCCCCATCTCCTGCATCACCCACTGAAGGAGATCATCTCTGTGAGACAGATGTCACCAGCGTGGCCATACACAGTGTGACCCTGCTCATCTGCCTCTGTGGGCTGGCTGGGAATGGGGCTGCCATCGGCCTCCTCAGCCTAAAAATCTGTAACTATCGCATCTTTTACCTGGCTGTCATTGACTTCCTCTTCCTCCTCTTTGCGGTCCCCTCCGCCCTCCTCATCCTGGTGGAGGACGTGTCCTGCTCTCCTATCCTGCCCGTGCTGTACCTGAGTTTCCTCTTCCAGCTGTCAGTGGTGTCCCTGTACTGGGGGCTGTACTGGCTGATGCGCAGCAGTGATGAGTGGTATGTGTACAAGCTCTTCTGGCTCTGCTGCCGCTGGGAGCCTCCCGAGCGCCTGGTGTGGGTGGTGGACATTGTCCAATACTGGGCCTTCATTGCTCTCTTCACTGTCATGCCCACGGTGACATTCCTGTGCCCATCACACCAGCAGGAGCACTGCAGGGCAGCTCTCATCTCCATGTACTCCATCATCCTGCTCCTCCTGGCTGCACCCATGCTCATTTCCAGCACAGTCGATTTCATTAAGGCCAAGCGGGGCTCCCAGCAGCAGCAACTCAAGAGGCGTGACATCGTTATCTTCCTCATTGGGCTCTTCATGTTCCTCCTCACTATCTGGTATTTCCTGCAGCAGCTCGGTTATATTGTTGTGCACTCCCAGGTTGTTTTCCTTCTCGCCTGCATCCACAGCAGCATCAAACCCTTCATCTACTTCTTGGCAGGGAGGTGCTGGAGGCCCTGCTCCATAGGGTCCCTCCAGCTCTCCCTCCACCGGGTCTTTGAAGAGCCAGAAGAAAACACTGACCACAGCGATGATCCTGCCATGGACACGGGGTCTAAGCCTGATGATCCCTACCACTGCTCTGCTGAAGGATCCCAGGAAAGTGGCTGAGGGGCAGTCCTTGAGCCTCTTGATTAATCAATATCCACGGGATCACCTTCCCTGTGGTGCTGTATTCCTGCAGGAGAAGGGAGCACGGGCATTGCCTTGGGTGATTTCTGTGGGATGCTCTGCAGGGAGCACATTGCAGCATGGCTTTCCTCCTCCCTCCGGGATCCACATGGCTCCAAGCAGTGCAGCTGGGCTCAGTGCTGTTCCCCAGCTCTATTCCCCATGGAATCACCCTCATGGCCTCAGCCCCAGGGAATGAACTCCCTCTCCTTTGCCTCAGCAGATGAGTTCCATGGTGTTTTCAGGGAGCTCTTGCCTGCAAAGAATGGGACACCTTCATCCCTGGGGACACACCCAGCACGGGGTGGCAGTGATTTCCCAAATCCCTGCAGGGCTGGTGCCTCTGGATGGCAGGAGAGGGGTTGGGATCACAGGGAGCATCCTTCCCCTTCTGCCCAGCAGAGCCAGCCCTGCATTCCCAGCTGATGGGAAGGGACACCAGGTAGGGCTGCAGAGCTGGGGAGGGACAGCAACATTCCCTTATCCTTTCCCTGGGAATTTGTCACATTCTTCAATTCCAGAATTGAATCTTTCTGAGTAAAATGCAGGGTCGACAGTGAACTCCACTGAACACCTGTGCCTGTATCCAGAAAGTGCATGGAATATGGAAATTCCCATCACCAGATGCTTGGACCATTTAATTGCACAGAAATTAGGGGGTTGTGCTGCTCTTCTGCAGAATGGGGCCATCCATCCTCTGGTTCCCCAGCATCAGTGTCCAGGGAAGCCCTTGAGCACCTCCATCCTGAGCCTGGCCACCCTCAGGAGGAGCTGCACAGCCACTCTGCACAGCAGCTTCAGCCACAGTCCAGCCTGCCCTGATCTCTGTCATTCTGGAACCACCCCTCAATCAGATTTGGATTCATGGTTTTTGTTTCTTTCCACTGTCGTAGTTCCCACCTTCCGAATTTGTAGAATAAACAACAACCAGGCTTTCCTGCAGAGCCTGTGCCTGTTTAACAGTGTCCAAAATGGCTCATTTCCTTCTTTTATCCCATTCCAAAGCCTCTGGCTGCTCTGGGAGCAGGGCAGCTACCTGTCTCATACCAGAGCCCGTCCTAAGGCACGTGCCTGCAATGGCTGGGATGATGTTGGCACTGCCAAGAGCTCCTGATTCCTCCTGGGAGAGACCTGGGCAGCAGCCACAGCTCTTGCTCAGGGGGAGGTTGTCCCTCCTTTTCCCACTGCCTTAAATCCAGGGGAAGCCAACGTGCCACTGCTTCTGGAAAGGGAAGTGAGAGTGAAAACCATGTGTGGAGTCAGGCTTTGGAGGCACACTTGAGGTTAAACAGCTAAGGAGCATTTATTAACAGAGTTGTTAATAATTAACAGGAGAGACTTTGACATCTAAGAGGGTTTTTCTCTCCCTGACTCCCTTCTCCTTTCCATTGGAAAGACTTTCCATGGTGGGACCTCTTGTCCAGGGAAGAACTCAGCCAGGCCGTTTCTCCCAAGGCAAGTGCAGAAGGACCATTATACTTCCATGTACTTTTTCTGCTTCCCAGCACCTTCCTTGTCTCCAGTGTCACCCAGGCCACTCCCTACCTGAGCTCCCTTTCAAAAGAGCGAGACTTTAAAGCAAAAGTTTTCCTGGTTGTCCCTGCCCATGGAAGAAGGAGAGATGGAATGAGATGATCTCTCCTGTTCCTTCCAACTTGTCCTGAGATGACTTTATGAGCTGAATTGTGTCCCCATTCACCTGTTTAGCCCAGAAATAGGTTTTGCCCATTTCAGACTGGTTCTTGAGCAAAGAGGGGGAGAGCAGATGCAGCAGTTTGTTTTCAGAAGCTGCGCTCACTCCTCCCCATTCCTGCTCCCAGACCGTGCTGTCTGCAGCACAGACATGCAACACACAGCACTCCTTTGCTTTTGGTATTTTTTTAACTAGCTGAGGCTCAGAAGTTCCCTGGACTGTTGCTTTCCTTTTGCTTGGAACTGTTCTGTCGTGAACAGCGGAAGAATTGCAGCACACAATATGCGTGAACAGCAAATCCCAAAGTTTATTGATAGCTCACACATGTTTATATTGGTGTTAATGAAGCTTATACATATTGCAAAAGCTGAGCTCATTATTGGTTAAAACACACTTAGATCAACCACACCTACTTCTATGCTCTAAGGATTATTTTGTTTCTATGTTTACATTCTTATAGCTACTCTACCTAGGCTATCTTCATTTTCTGGCAAGCGATTGTCTCCCCCATCTTCCTGTTTCAGCGAAGGTCACCATGACCTTTGTCAGGGATTGGACACTGGTTCCTTAATCCCCAGCTTGTTTCCCCTATCCTTATCCAACGGTATCACATCGAAGTGGCCTTTCTCAGCTAGCCAATTATCCACAAAGCTCACCACACTGTTCAAACCTGCTCTGGACTGAAAACCCAGAAGAGCACGGGGAGCTCACACCTGTGGCCCACCGGGGCCTGGGACGTGGCATTTTCCAGCACAAGGGGGACTGATAAGAGACTGAGTGAGCCAAACTACACTCCACAACAAGGACTTGCTGAATTTGCCACCTCTGCAGAACAGCAGGAGATTTTATTGTCTAATGTTGTTTTCATTTTTTTATGCTTGTGAATACTTTGCTTATTAAATAAACAGTTTTTTCCACTTTTCTTTGACGAAATCTTTTCCCAAACAAGTTGGGGGGGGGCTGCTTGAATTTGTTTACTAGAGGAAGCCTGTTCAGAGGCTTCCTCCCAAATTTTCCCTAAAGCAGGACACAACCCAAAGCATTCCATGAGGATTCCTCATGTCACTCACTACCACCCCAGGCAGGAGTGCCCCTACTGCACACAGCACCAGCCTGGCAGAGCTCAAGGAGCATTTGGACAATGCTCTCAGGCACAACCTGGGATTCTTGGGATGTCCTGTGCAGGGCCACGAGCTCAACTCCATCAACCTTGTAGGTCCCTGCCAACTCTGGATATTTTATGGTTCTATTTTAGGCTGAATATCTTTCATGATGATTCCACTTGATGATGACTCCACTGTGTTGTCCCTGTGCCCTGGCTCTGGCACAAAAGCCTCAAAAGCCCTCTGCAAGGCAACACTACCAGAGGAGGTGAATTCCTTTGCACAGCTCCCAGCCAGGAAGTGAATCAGAGGGAGGGCAGAGCTCTTGGCACAGGTGAGCAGGAGAGAGGTGCTGGCGGCAAAGACAGAGAAGTCAAACGCCCTCAGCAAGAGCCAGTGCCCAAAATCAGCAGTGAAGAAGGGGAAGGGCATGACAGGAGCAGCAGGAGCAGGGCACAGAGCTTCCCTGGGAGCTGTTTCCATGGGCAGCACAGGAGCCTGGCCATCAGGGCCAGAGCAGAACAGGTCAGGCTGAGCACTGAGAAGAGGCAGCTCAGGACCAAGGCCATGGGCACCAAAGAGCAGCAATGGAGGGGGGCAGTGAGCAGGAAGGAGAGCAGCCAGAGCAGGGCACACAGGAGCATGGGGAAGCACTGCGAGCAGTGGCAGGGCCAGCAGGACACACGAGGACAAACAGAGCTGTCACAGCACTGAGGGCTGTCAGACAGGAGACAGCGGCAGTGAAAGCCAAGAGGATGGGCACCTTCAGCCCAGCTGTCACACCCCACGAGCCCAGCTGCTGGCAGAAGCTCCCTGGGACAGAAAATAGCCCCAGGGGGATGATGATGGAGAGCAGGAAGGTGAAGCCAGCCATGGCCAGGCTGAGCACATAAGGGGTGATGGGGCTCCTGTGGATGCAGAAGCTGAGGAGCCAGAGCACAGCCCCATTCCCACCATTCCACACAGCCACAGCAGCAGCAGCAGCAGCAGTGGGACAGGCACTTTGCTCCACTGCCTGTGGTCACACTGGCTCCAGTTGCCGTGGCTCTCCTCATTCCAGCTCCCCTTGGATGCCTTCCCACCGGGCTGGCTCCAGCAGGCAGGGCTGGCTCCCTCCGTGGCAGGGGACAAAGTGCTCATGGTGACACCTCTGCTGCTTCTCCTGCCCTCACACAGCTGGAGGGGTGACACACAGAGACACCAGAGCAACGCTGCTCTCCCCCAAACGTGGCTTTTCCCATCTTTTCCCTGCCACAGCTTCCATGTGCAGCAGCACAGGCAGGGCTGAGGGACAGGACAGAAGGCAAGTAGGATGTGGGAGCCTGGTCTGGGCTACCTGGCACAAAAGCCAGGCAGATACCTCCTTCCTGGCTGTGGACAGGACACAGCTAGAGGAGGAAAACAAGTGGAGAAGGAAGGAATTGCCCATGGAGATATCACAGAGCAAATGGCTTTGGGATGGGTCTGACCTGGACTCTCAGGTGTCAGTTGATGTCACTGAGCTGATGGATTCCTTCAGCAGGACACTCGTTTCAATATTCCCTCCCTTTTCCCACACTCTTTATAGCTTTCAATTCCCTACAGACCTCAGCTCTGCCCCCCAAATCAATCACCAGGTTCCACCCAATGAGGGGGCCCTGATTAAGGTGGGAGAGAAGAGTCTGACCTTGTTTCCTCTGGCAGCCTGGAGAACTTCCCCGCAGCGCACTCCCCTCAGCTCCCAGCCTCCAGCTGCTGTCCCTGGGCCGGGATCTGCAGGAGCTTCCCTGGAATGGTCCCTTGGGAAAGGGGAGCGCGGCCCGCGGGGTGAGCCCGAGCGGCGCCCGGCGCGGGCTCTGTCCCAGCTCCTGCCACAGCCCCTGCTCTCCGTGCTGCCTCGTGTTCCCCAGGGCTCTCACACACAGGCAGCTGCCTCAGAGCTGCCACGGCCTCAGGCCTCTGCTCCTCAGCTGCTCTTCACTCTGCCCGGGAAATGAGCAACAGCAGAGAGCCCCAGCAACCACACCTGTGCCCAAAGCGCTTTGGCTCCATCTCAGCTTCTGTTCTATTTTATAGCAACCTCAACCCCAAAATCTTGTCTTTTGAACTGCCTGAACTTGCCCCCCGTCATCCTCTGACCTTGATCCTTGTGACCCTGCACTACAAATGTGCTGTTAAACTTATATTTCTGTTTCAAATGTGGTTTCCCCACTTGTATACCACAATTTAAGTGGCACCAGACCTTCAACATTCAGTTTCCAAGAAGATTCATGCAAGAATAAATACTGTGTGCGAGCTGGAGCACTGGCACAGAGCAGAGGGATGATTTGGGATGTCAGCAATGGCATCTCTTCTGAGAAGAGGCAAATCCATGCTGCTCTCTTGGCTTTAATCCTTAGAAAGTTGCAGGTTTCCTTTGAGTCATCCTCTACACTCCATTGGGAGTCTGACAGCAGCCTACAGTGAATTCCAAGGAATTCCTAGAAAGCTGAGGTGAGATGATTCCCACCCAGGCTGACATGTGCCTCAGGGATCTGGGATGCTCCTCCTGGAAACTGCTGGCCCTGGGACCAGAACTGTCACCTCTCTTCCCTGCTGACACCGTGTTTGTGTCCCCAGCTATGCAATCTCACATCCCCTCACCAGCCCAATCCTTTCAAGGGCAAACACTTCATCATCCAGGAGCTGATGGAGCTCCAGAACAGTTGGAGAGGGACTTTGGACAAGGGCATGGAGAGACAGGACAAGGGGGAATGGCTTCCCACTGACAGAGGGTGGGGTCATATTGGATATTGGGAAGAAATCCTTCCCTGTGAGGGTGATGAGGCCCTGGCACAGGTTGCCCAGAGGGATGGGGTCAGGTAAAAACAAACGCGAGAGCTCCAAAGTGCAAGGAGGAGGAGGATGAGTCCTAATGAAGGGCTGGAAAGGGGATCACAACACCCCAAAATGTGGTTCCTGATAGCTTTCATTGCATCATCAAGGCGATTGACAGTAATTAGGGTGGTCTCTAAGTGCTGCTGACCTGGCTGCAAGCAACTGAGTGCTGTCCTTCCCTTGGGCTCTGTGAGCCTGCATTGCAATGACAGGAATGGGAATTCTCAGCTCAGTTTGCTTTCTTGGGGCCAGGGAAGGTTTTGGCAATGATCCTGAAAATCAACCCAGAATGGGAGGTGTTTCTGAGAAGCACCCAGATGCTTGCACAGTGCTGTGAGCACTTCCAGCACTGCCAGCAGCATTCCAGCACCACCAGCCCCACCAGCAGCTCTCTGCTGCTGCAGGGACAGTGACCACTCAGGGTAGATAAATGAGGGATGGTAGAAACCTGCAGAGAGAGGGGAAGCATTTGGAGAATGTCCCATTTGGAAAAGAGTTTCTAATCAGGAGGAAATTTCATTCAAAGAAATCTGCATGTCAGGCTACTTCCCCTATGGCAGGAAAAAAAAGGTCAAGACAAAAAACTCACAGGAAGTGAAATTCTTACGTAGCCAAAGATTAAATTTCTGACTCTCCCGCCCAGCCTTGCAAAACAACACCAAGACAGGGCACGGAGAGGAGCCAGCAGGATGGGAATGGGGAGCTCCTGGTGACCTGGGCACTTTCTCCTTCATGTCCCTGACCTGCCAGGAGCCGCTTTAGGACATGGATCCCAAAGGAGCAAGAGGTACCAGGAAGCGCCGCTGATCTGCACAGAGCCCTTTGCCTGCTGCTGCCCCACAGGGAACAGGTCAGTGGAATGTTTGCCTTCCTCCCTACCCCACCTTCCTCTCCTGCAGCAGCTGCTCTGTTCCTGACACCCTCTCCCGCTGACCCCAGGGCCCTCCCCAGCTCCTCTCTCTTCTCCTGTGCATCCCGTCTGTGTCCTAATACAGAAATGGGCCAGAACAAACTTTCTAACACAGTGCAAAGCATGAGGAAGCAGGAATTCTTGACTTGCAAAGGACACAGAGGGATCTCTCCTTGTATTGTGTATATGGTGAGGCTTTACAACAGGGTATTAATCCATTAGAACCACATGTTGGCATTAAAAAGTTTTTCTTTTCTAATACACAAACACCATTTTCCTAGAACTCATTTCCATGCATCTACCTCCTCCTGCAAGTCCTTTTATGATCCTGGACGTTTATTAAGCGGGGTCTCTCTGGTGGTCATATTCAATGAATGCTGCCATATTGAAGGTACCCTTGCCTTGAACTTTTCATCTGGCCATGCACTGTTGCTTCCTATTCCAGAATTTACCCCAAAACCACTGCAGGCCTCCTTATCTGTTTCTGCACTGGTTCCTGCCATGTTTGTCATCCTGTGAGAAACAACTGCCATCCTGTGCCAGCCTTTACATCCTGTGACAGACAACTGCCCACTTTTTTAAATTTTGAAAGTTTCATTAAACCTTAACAAAAAATGCAACAAAAGGACTGAATAATCAGAAGCAGGCCTGGGAGCTTCCTCATGGCTGCCCACCACGTGGCTGGTTGATCTTCAAGATGGATGCTTCACCTCTGATAGCCTGGGGGTTGCATCAGCTAAACCTGGCCCCTCCCAAAGTCTGTCAGTCAGCCCTTCTTTGTGTTTATTGCTGGAGCCTGCTCTCTTGCAACTTGACTCGAGGGTCAGGTGTTCTCATGCTGCACCTCTTCCCCCCCCAGCAACAAGCTTTTGTTCAACCCTTCTTTCTACCTGTCCTAGATGACTCAGGCTCTCTGATGGAAAGAGTACAGAGGGGAGAGAAAGGGACTATGGGGAGAACAGGGGACATCTAAACAACAGACTACAATAACATAATTATATATCAATCAAGCTTCTATTAATATTCACACAGCATTCATCCCTTAACTGTGAGAGCCAGTCATCTCATTATCCATCTATAAGACATCCTTTAAAATTTTGGCCACTTTACTTTTGAACAACTTCAGAAGAACTGAAAATTTTTATTTTCTATATTATTTATCAGCCTCCTGCCGAACAGACCAACCCTCCCTCCTCCCTCTCCCACCCCACCATTTCCACCGCCCTCCTCCCCTGCACATCTCACTCCTCCCCACTGAATCCTTCCCACTGCAGGGAGCTGCTGAGGAGCCGCATGGTCCATCCCTGGATTCTCCAAGCACTGACTGCCCATCCACTCTGACCACAGCCAGGGGCCACATCCCACTGCCTGCCCAGCGTCCATCCATGGAGGTGACCACCGTGTCCCCATCTCCTGCCTCACCCACTGAAGGAGATCATCTCTGTGAGACAGATGTCACCACCATGGCCATACACAGTGTGACCCTGCTCATCTGCCTCTGTGGGCTGGCTGGGAACGGAGCTGTCATCGGCCTCCTCAACCTGAAAAGCCATAACTCTGACTTCTTTGACCTGGCTGTCATGGACTTCCTCTTCCTCCTCTTTGTGGTCACCTCCACCCTCCTCTTCCTGGTGGAGGACGTGTCCTGCTCTCCTATCCTGCCCGAGCTGTACCTGAGTTTCCTCTTCCAGTTTTCAGTGGTGTCCCTGTACTGGGGGCTGTTGTGGGTGATAGACAGCAGCGATGTGTGGTATATGGACATGCTCTTCTGGCTCTGCTACTGCTGGGAGCCTCCCAAGCGCCTGGTGAGGGTGGTGGACAGTGTCAAACACTGGACAGTCTTTGCTCTCTTCACTGTCATTCCCACGGTGACATTCCTGTGCCCATCAAACGAGCAGGAGCGCTGCAGGGCAGCTCTCATCTCCATGAACACCCTCATCCTGCTCCTCTTTGTCGCACCCGTGCTCATTTCCAGCACAGTCAATTTCATTAAGGCCAAGCGGGGATCCCAGCAGGAGCAACTCCAGAGGCGCGACATCGTTACCTTCCTCATTGTGCTCTTCACTCTCCTTCTCAGCCTCTTCAATTTCCTGCAGCAGCTCAGTTATATTGTTGTGCCCTCCCAGGTTGTCTTCCTGCTCGCCTGCATCCACAACAGCATCAAACCCTTCTTCTACTTCTTGCTGGGAAGGTGCTGGAGGCCCTGCTCCATAAAGTCCCTCCAGCTCTCCCTCCAGAGGGTCTTTGAAGAGCCAGAAGAAAACACTGCCCACAACGATGATCCTGCCATGGACACGATGGTCTGAGTCTGCTTATCCCTTCCACTGCTCTGCTGAAGGACTCCAGGAAAGTGGCTGGAGGGCTGTCCTTTAAGCTCCTGATTAATCAATATCCACGGGATCACCCTCCCTGTGGTGCTGTATTCCTGCAGGAGAAGGGAGCAGGAGCATTGCCTTGGGTGATTTTGTGGGATGCTCTGCAGGGAGCACATTGCAGCATGGCTTTCCTCCTCCCTCCTGGATCCACATGGCTCCAAGCAGTGCAGCTGGGCTCAGTGCTGTTCCCCAGCTCTATCCCCCATGGAATCACCCTCATGGCCTCGGCCCCAGGGAATGAACTCCCTCTCCTTTGCCTCAGCAGATGAGTTCCATGGTGATTTCAGGGAGATCCTGCCTGCAAAGATTGGGACACCTTCATCCCTGGGGACACACCCAGCACAGGGTGGCAGTGATTTCCCAAATCCCTGCAGGGCTGGTGCCTCTGGATGGCAGGAGAGGGGTTGGGATCACAGGGAGCATCCTTCCCCTTCTGTCCAGCACAGCCAGCCCTGCATTCCCAGCTGATGGGAAGGGACACCAGGTAGGGCTGCAGAGCTGGGGAGGGACAGCAACATTCCCTTATCCTTTCCCTGGGAATTTGTCACATTCTTCAATTCCAGAACTGAATCCTTCTGAGTAAAGTGCAGCGTCGATAGGGAACTCCATTGAACTCCTGTGCCTGTATCCAGAAAGTACATGGAATATGGAAATTCCCCTAACCAGATGCTTGGACCATGTAATTGCACAGAAATTAGGGGGTTGTGCTGCTCTCCTGCAGAATGGGGCCATCCATCCTCTGGTTCCCCAGCATCAGTGTCCAGGGAAGCCCTTGAGCACCTCCAGCCTGAGCCTGGCCACCCTCAGGAGGAGCTGCACAGCCACTCTGCACAGCAGCTTCAGCCACAGTCCAGCCTGCCCTCATCTTTGTCATTCTGGAACCACCCCTCAATCAGATTTGGATTCGTGGTTTTTGGTTGCCTCCATCGGGGTAATATCCAACCCAGAGTTTGTTAAATAAACAACAACCAGGCTTCCCTGCAGAGCCTGTCTCTGTTAAACAGTGTCCAAAATGGCTCATTTCCTTCTTTTATCCCATTCCAAAGCCTCTGGCTGGTCTGGGAGCACGGCAGCTACCTGTCTCATACCAGAGCCCTTCCTAAGGCACGTGCCTGCAATGGCTGGGATGATGTTGGCACTGCCAAGAGCTCCTGATTCCTCCTGGGAGAGACCTGGGCAGCAGCCACAGCTCTTGCTCAGGGGGAAGTTGTCCCTCCTTTGCCCACTGCCTTAAATCCAGGGGAAGCCAATGTGCCACTGCTTCTGGAAAGGGAAATGAAAGGGAAAACCATGTGTGGAGTCAGGCTTTGGAGACACACTTGAGGTTAAACAGCTGAGGAGCATTTATTAACAGAGTTGTTAATAATTTACAGAAGAGAGAGACTTTGACATCTGAGAGGGTTTTTCTCTCCCTAACTCCTGGTTTCCTGCCCATTGGAAACCCAAAACTTTCCATGGAGGAACTTCTTGTCCATGGAAGAACAACTCAGCCAGGGCGTTTCTCCCAAGGCAAGTGCAGAAGGACCATTATACTTCCATGTACTTTTTCTGCTTCCCAGCACCTTGCTTGTCTCCAGTGTCACCCAGGCCACTCCCTACCTGAGCTTCCTTTCAAAAGAGCAAAGATTTCAGTGCAAGAGCTTTCCTGGTGTCAGCAGCCTACAGTGAATTCCAAGATGATTCCTACCCAGGCTGACATGTGCCTCAGGGATCTGGGATGCTCCTGCTGGAAACTGCCGTCTGTGTGGTGGCCCTGGGACCAGAGCTGTCACCTCTCTTCCTGCTGACACCGTGTTTGTGTCCCCAGCTATGCAATCTCACATCCCCTCAGCAGCCCAATCCTCTCAAGGGCAAACACTTCATCATCCAGGAGCTGATGGGGCTCCAGGACAGTTGGAGAGGGACTTTGGACAAGGGCATGGACTGTCAGGACAAGGGGGAATGGCTTCCCACTGACAGAGGGTGGGGTCAGATTGGATATTGGGAAGAAATCCTTCCCTGTGAGGGTGCTGAGGCCCTGGCATACATTGCCCAGAGTGGCTGTGGCTGTTCCTGGATACCTGGAAGTGTCCAAGGCCAGGCTGGATGGGGTTTGGAGCAACGTGGGATAGTGGAAAGTGTCCCTGCTGGCAGAGGGACAGTCAGGGATCAGACAACCACAAAACAAGCCCAAGTGTTCCCAGGACTGAGTAGGAGGAGGAGCAGCTCTGGTGAAGGGCTGGCAGGGGGTTCACAGCACCCTGGTCCCTGATAGCTTTCATTGCATCATCAAGGGCATTGGCAGTAATCAGGGTGGGCTCCAAGTGCTGATAGCCTGGCTGCAAGCAACTGAGTGCTGTCCTTCCCCTGGGCTCTGTGAGCCTGCACTGGAATGACAAAAATGGGAGTTCTTGCCTCATTTGTGCTTCCTTGGGCACAGGGGAGGTTTTGGCAATGAATCTGGAGCTCTTCCCAGAATGGGAGCAGTTTCTGACAAGCACCCAGATGCTTCACCAGCACTGCCAGCACTGCCAGCAGCATTCCAGTGCCACCAGCACCACCAGCATCCCTCTGCTGCTGGACAGACAATGACCCCTCAGGGAAGTAAAACACAATGGTAGAGAGAGAGAGAAGGCGGTTGGAGTATGGGACATTCTGCAGGGAAGGGATGTTTCTATTCAGAAGGAAATGAGGAGCCATTTGCAAAATTCTTCATGTGGACTTTTCACAAAAGTCACTTCCTTTGTGGCAAAGAAAAAAAATATTCAAGATAAAGAACTGAGAGGGAGTGGAGCTCTGACACACCCAAAGCTGTAAAACAACTTCTACCTGCCCTATGACCCCACCGAGCCTTGGGGAGCAACACAAGGACAGGGTACAAAGAGGAGCCAGCAGGACGGGAATGAGGAGCTCCTGGTGACCTGGGCACTTTCTCCTTCATGTCCCTGACCTGCCAGGAGCCGCTTTAGGACATGGATCCCAAAGGAGCAAGAGGTACCAGGAAGCGCCGCTGATCTGCACAGAGCCCTTTGCCTGCTGCTGCCCCACAGGGAACAGGTCAGTGGAATGTTGGCCTTCCTCCCTACCCCACCTTCCTCTCCTGCAGCAGCTGCTCTGTTCCTGCCACCCTCTCCCGCTGACCCCAGGGCCCTCCCCAGCTCCTCTCTCTTCTCCTGTGCATCCCGTCTGTGTCCTAATACTGAAATGGGCCAGAACAAACTTTCTAACACAATGCAAAGCATGAGGAAGCAGGAATTCTTGACCTGCACAGGACACAGAGGGATCTTTCCTTGTATTGTGTGTATGGTGAGACTTTACATCAGGGTGTTAATCCATTAGAACCACATGTAGGCATTAAAAAGGTTTTCTTATCTAATACATAAAAACCATTTTCCTAGAACTCATTTCCATGCATCCACCTCCTCCTGCAAGTCCTTTTATGATCATGGAGGTTTATTCAGAGGAGTCTCTCTGGTGGTCATATTCAATGAATGCTGCCATATTAAAGGTGCCCTTGCTTGAACTTTTCCTCTGGCCATGCACTGTTGCTTCCTGTTCCAGAATTTACCCCAAAACCACTGCAGGCCTCCTGATCTGTTTCTGCACTGGTTCCTGCCATGTTTGTCATCCTGTGTGCCAGTCTTTACATCCTCTGAGAAACAACCATCCACTTTTTAAAATTTTAGATGGTTAATAAACCTTAAAGAAAAAATGCAACAAAAAGAATAAATAAGGAGAAGCAGGCCTGGGAGCTTCCCTCACGGCTGCCCACCACGTGGCTGGCTGATCTTCAAGATGGATGCTTCACCTCTGATACCCTGGGGGTTGCATCAGCTAAACCTGGCCCCTCCCAAAGTCTGTCAGTCAGCCCTTCTTTGTGTTTATTGCTGGAGCCTGCTCTCTTGCAACTTGACTCGAGGGTCAGGTGTTCTCATGCTGCACCTCTTCCCCCCCCAGCAACAAGCTTCTGTACACCCCTTCTTTCTACCTGTCCTAGATGGCTCAGGCTCTCTGATGGAAACATTACAGAGGGGAGAGAAGGGGACTATGGGGTGAACATAGTTCTAAACATTTAAACAACAGACTACAATAACATAATTATATATCAATCTAGCTTCTCTTAATATTCACACGGTATTGATCCCTTAACTGTGAGAGCCAATCATCTCATTATCCATCTATAACACATCGTTCTAAATTTTGGCCACTTTGCTTTTGAACAACTTCGGAAGAACTGAAATGTTTATTCTCTATGTTATTTATCAGCCTCCTGCCGAACAGACCAACCCTCCCACCTCCCTCTCCCCCGCCACCATTTCCACCACCCTCCTCCCCTGCACATCTCACTCCTCCCCACTGAATCCTTCCCACTGCAGGGAGCTGCTGAGGAGCCACATGGTCCATCCCTGGATTCTCCAAGCACTGACTGCCCATCCACTCTGACCACAGCCAGGGGCCACATCCCACTGCCTGCCCAGCGTCCATCCATGGAGGTGACCACCGTGTCCCCATCTCCTGCCTCACCCCCTGAAGGAGATGATCTCTGTGAGACAGATGTCACCAGCGTGGCCATACACAGTGTGACCCTGCTCATCGGCCTCTGTGGGCTGGCTGGGAACGGGGCTGTCATCGGCCTCCTCAGACTGAAAAACCGTAACGCTGGCATCTTTGACCTGGCTGTCATTGACTTCCTCTTCCTCCTCCTTGCGGTCCCCTCCGCCCTCCTCTTCCTGGTGGAGGACTTGTCCTGCTCTCCTATCCTGCCCCTGCTGTACCTGAGTTTCCTCTTCCAGCTGTCAGTGGTGTCCCTGTACTGGGGGCTGTACCGGCTGATGCGCAGCAGCAATGTGTGGTACATGGACAAGCTCTGCAAGCTCTGCTGCTGCTGGGAGCTTCCCGAGCGCCTGGTGAGGGTGGTGGACAGTGTCCAATACTGGGCCTTCTTTGCTCTCTTCACTCTCATTCCCACGGCGACATTCCTGTGCCCATCACACCAGCAGGAGCACTGCAGGGCAGCTCTCATCTCCATGAACACCCTCATCCTGCTCCTCTTTGTTGCACCCGTGGCCATTTCCAGCACAGTCGATTTCATTAAGGCCAAGCGGGGATCCCAGCAGGAGCAACTCCAGAGGCGCGACATGGTTATCTTGATCATTATGCTCTTCATTTTCCTCCTCACCGTCTGGAATTTCCTGCAGCAGCTCGGATACATGGCTGTGCCCTCCCAGGTTGTTTTCCTGCTCGCCTGCATCCACAGCACCATCAAACCCTTCATATACTTCTTGCTGGGGAGGTGCAGGAGGCCCTGCTCCATGGGGTCTCTCCGACTCTCCCTCCAGAGGGTGTTTGAGGAGCCAGAAGAAAAAAAAGCCCACAGTGATGATCCTGCCATGGACACGGGGGTCTGAGCCTGCTGATCCCTTCCACTGCTCTGCTGAAGGACCCCAGGAAAGTGGCTGAGGGGCAGTCCTTGAGCCTCTTGATTAATCAATATCCACAGCATCATCCTTCCCATGGTGCTGTATTCCTGCAGAACAAGGGAGCAGGAGCATTGCCTTGGGTGATTTTTGTGGGATGCTCTGCAGGGAGCACATTGCAGCATGGCTTTCCTCCTCCCTCCTGGATCCACATGGCTCCAAGCAGTGCAGCTGGGCTCAGTGCTGTTCCCCACCTCTATTCCCCATGGAATCACCCTCATGGCCTCGGCCCCAGGGAATGAACTCCCTCTCCTTTGCCTCAGCACATGAGTTCCATGGTCTTTTCAGGGAGCTCTTGCCTGCAAAGAATGGGACACCTTCATCCCTGGGGACACACCCAGCACGGGGTGGCAGTGATTTCCCAAATCCCTGCAGGGCTGGTGCCTCTGGATGGCAGGAGAGGGGTTGGGATCACAGGGAGCATCCTTCCCCTTCTGTCCACCAGAGCCAGCCCTGCATTCCCAGCTGATGGGAAGGGACACCAGGTAGGGCTGCAGAGCTGGGGAGGGACAGCAACATTCCCTTATCCTTTCCCTGGGAATTTGTCACATTCTTCAATTCCAGAATTGAATCCTTCTGAGTAAAGTGCAGGGTCGACAGTGAACTCCATTGATCCTTTGTGCCTGTATCCAGAAAGTACATGGAATATGGAAATTCCATCAGCTGATGCTTGGACCATGTAATTGCACAGAAATTAGGGGGTTGTGCTGCTCTTCTGCAGAATGGGGCCATCCATCCTCTGGTTCCCCAGCATCAGTGTCCAGGGAAGCCCTTGAGCACCTCCAGCCTGAGCCTGGCCACCCTCAGGAGGAGCTGCACAGCCACTCTGCACAGCAGCTTCAGCCACAGTCCAGCCTGTCCTGATCTTTGTCATTCTGGAACCACCCCTCAATCACATTTGGATTCATGGTTTTTGTTTCTTTCCACTGTGGCAGTTCCTGCCCCAGAATTTGTTGAATAAACAACCACCAGACCACATTGCAGAGCCTGTCTCTGTTAAAAAGTGTCCAAAATGGCTCATTTCCTTCTTTTATCCCATTCCAAAGCCTCTGGCTGGTCTGGGAGCACGGCAGCTACCTGTCTCATACCAGAGCCCTTCCTAAGGCACGTGCCTGCAATGGCTGGGATGATGTTGGCACTGCCAAGAGCTCCTGATTCCTCCTGGGAGAGACCTGGGCAGCAGCCACAGCTCTTGCTCAGGGGGAAGTTGTCCCTCCTTTGCCCACTGCCTTAAATCCAGGGGAAACCAACGTGCCACTGCTTCTGGAAAGGGAAGTGAGAGTGAAAACCATGTGTGGAGTCAGGATTTGAGGCACATGTGAGGTTAAAGAGCATTTATTAACTGAGTTGTTAATAATTAACAAAAGACACTTTGATGTCAAAGAGGGGTTTTCTCTCCCTGACTCCCATTTCCTGTCCATTGCAAAGACTTTCCATGGTGCAACCTCTTGTCCAGGGAAGAACAACTCAGCCAGGGCGTTTCTCCCAAGGCAAGTGCAGAAGGACCATTATACTTCCATGTACTTTTTCTGCTTCCCAGCACCTTCCTTGTCTCCAGTGTCACCCAGGCCACTCCCTACCTGAGCTTCCTTTCAAAAGAGCAAGACTTCAAAGCAAAAGCTTTCCTGGTTGTCCCTGCCCATGGAAGAAGGAGAGATGGAATGAGATGATCTCTACCCTTCCTTCCAACTTGTCCTGGGGTGACTTTATGAGCTGAATTGTGTCCCCATTCACCTGTTTAGCCCAGAAATAGGTTTTGCCCATTTCAGACTGGTTCTTGAGCAAAGAGGGGGAGAGCAGATGCAGCAGTTTGTTTTCAGAAGCTGCGCTCACTCCTCCCCATTCCTGCTCCCAGACCGTGCTGTCTGCAGCACAGACATGCAACACACAGCTCTCCTTTGCTTTTGGTATTTTTTGAACTAGCTGAGGCTGAGAAGTTCCCTGGACTGTGGTTTTCCTTTTGCTTGGAACTGTTCAAACCTGCTCTGGACTGAAAACCCAGAAGAGCACTGGGAGCTCACACCTGTGGCCCACCGGGGCCTGGGACGCGGCATTTTCCAGCACCAGGGGGACTGATAAGAGACTGAGTGAGCCAAACTACACTCCACAACAAGGACTTGCTGAATTTACCACCTCTGCAGAACACCAAGGGATTTTATTGTCTAATATTGTTTTCATTTTTTTATGCTTGTGTACAATTTGTTTGTTAAATAAACAGTTTTTTTCCACATTTCTCTAAGGAAATCTTTTCCTGTACCAGCTGCTGCTTGAATTTGTTTTCTAGAGGGATCCCATTTGGAGGTTTCTGCCCAAATTTACCCTAAACTAGGACACAACCCAACCCGTTCCATGATGATTCCTCATTACATCCAGCATCCACCCCAGGCAGGAGTGCCCCTGCTGCACACAGCACCAGCCTGGCAGAGCTCAAGGAGCATTTGGACAATGCTCTCAGGCACAGGCTGGGATTGTTGCGATGTCCTGTGCAGGGCCAGGAGCTGAATTCCATGATCCTTGTGAGTCCCTTCCAACTTTGGATATTTTAATGTTCTATATTCTGATGACTCTGTTTCATGATGATTCCACTTGATGATGACTCCCCTGTGTTGCCCTGGCACCGGCACATCCTCAAAAGGCCTCAGCAAGGAAACACTAACAGAGGGGGTGAGTTCCTTTGCACAGCTCCCAGCCAGGAAGTGAATCAGAGGGAGGGCACTGCTGTTGGCCGAGAAGCCAGAGCACAGCCCCATTCCCACCATTCCACACAGCCACAGCAGCAGCAGTGGGACAGGCACTTTGCTCCACTGCCTGTGGTCACACTGGCTCCAGTTGCCGTGGCTCTCCTCACTCCAGCTCCCCTTGGATGCCTTCCCACCGGGCTGGCTCCAGCAGGCAGGGCTGGCTCCCTCCGTGGCAGGGGACAAAGTGCTCATGGTGACACCTCTGCTGCTTCTCCTGCCCTCACACAGCTGGAGGGCTGACACACAGAGATACCAGAGCAACACTGCTGTCCCCCAAACGTGGCTTTTCCCATCTTTTCCCAGCCACAGCTTCCATGTGCAGCAGCACAGGCAGGGCTGAGGGACAGGACAGAAGGCAAGTAGGATGTGGGAGCCTGGTCTGGGCTGCCTGGCACAAAAGCCAGGCAGATACCTCCTTCCTGGCTGTGGACAGGACACAGCTGGAGGAGGAAAACAAGTGGAGAAGGAAGGAATTGCCCATGGAGATGTCACAGAGCAAATGGCTTTGGGATGGATCTGAGCTGGACTCTCAGGTGTCAGTTGATGTCACTGAGCTGATGGATTCCTTCAGCAGGACACTCGTTTCAATATTCCCTCCCTTTTCCCACACTGTTTATAGCTTTCAATTCCCTACAGACCTCAGCTCTGCCCCCAAAATCAATCACCAGGTTCCACCCAATGAGGGGGCCCTGATCAAGGTGGAAGAGAAGAGTCTGACCTTGTTTCCTCTGGCAGCCTGCAGAACTTCCCCGCAGCGCACTCCCCTCAGCTCCCAGCCTCCAGCTGCTGTCCCTGGGCCGGGATCTGCAGGAGCTTCCCTGGAATGGTCCCTTGGGAAAGGGGAGCGCGGCCTGCGGGGTGAGCCCGAGCGGCGCCCGGCGCGGGCTCTGTCCCAGCTCCTGCCACAGCCCCTGCTCTCCGTGCTGCCTCGTGTTCCCCAGGGCTCTCACACACAGGCAGCTGCCTCAGAGCTGCCACGGCCTCAGGCCTCTGCTCCTCAGCTGCTCTTCACTCTGCCCGGGAAATGAGCAACAGCAGAGAGCCCCAGCAACCACACCTGTGCCCAAAGCGCTTTGGCTCCATCTCAGCTTCTGTTCTATTTTATAGCAACCTCAACCCCAAATTCTTGTCTTCTGAACTGCATGAACTTGCCCCCTGTCATCCCCTGACGTGGATCCTTTTGACCCTGAACTACAAATGTGCTGTTAAACTTATATTTCTGTTTCAAATGTGGTTTCCCCACTTGTATACCACAATTTAAGTGGCACTGGACCTTCACCATTCAGTTTCCAAGAAGATTCATGCAAGAATAAATTCTGTGTGTGAGCTGGAGCACTGGCACACAGCAGAGGGATGATTTCGGATTTCAGCAATGGCATCTCTTCTGAGAAGAGGCAAATCCATGCTGCTCTCTTGGCTTTAATCCTTAGAAAGTTGCAGGTATCATCTGAGTCATCCTCTACACTCCATTGGGAGTCTGACAGCAGCCTACAGTGAATTCCAAGGAATTCCTAGAAAGCTGAGGTGAGATGATTCCCACCCAGGCTGACATGTGCCTCAGGAAACCTCCTGGAAACTGCTGGCCCTGGGACCAGAACTGTCACCTCTCTTCCTGCTGACACCGTGTTTGTGTCCCCAGCTATGCAATCTCACATCCCCTCACCAGCCCAATCCTTTCAAGGGCAAACACTTTATCATCCAGGAGCTGATGGGGCTCCAGGACAGTTGGAGAGGGACTTTGGACAAGGGCATGGAGTGACAGGACAAGGGGGAATGACTTCCCACTACAATAGGGTGGGGTCATATTGGATATTGGGAAGAAATCCTTCCCTGTGAGGGTGTTGATGCCTTTCCATACATTGGCCAGAGAGGCTGTGGCTGTCCCTGGATCCCTGGAAGTGTCCAAGGCCAGGTTGGATGGGGTTTGGAGCAACGTGGGATAGTGGAAAGTGTCCCTGCTGGCAGAGGGACAGTCAGGGATCAGACAAGCACAAAAACAAGCCCAAGTGTTCCCAGGACTGAGTAGGAGGAGGAGCAGCTCTGGTGAAGGGCTGGCAGGGGGTTCACAGCACCCTGGTCCCTGATAGCTTTCATTGCATCATAAAGGGCATTGGCAGTAATCAGGGTGGGCTCCAAGTGCTGATAGCCTGGCTGCAAGCAACTGAGTGCTGTCCTTCCCTTGGGCTCTGTGAGCCTTCACTAGAATGACAAAAATGGGAGTTCTTGCCTCATTTGTGCTTCCTTGGGCACAGGGGAGGCTTTGGCAGTGGTTCTGGAGCTCTTCCCAGAATGGGAGCTGTTTCTGACAAGCACCCAGATGCTTCACCAGCACTACCAGCACTGCCAGCAGCATTCCAGTGCCACCAGCACCACCAGCATCCCTCTGCTGCTGGACAGACGGTGACCCCTCAGGGAAGAGAAACACGTAATGGTAGAGAGAGAGAGAAGGCGGTTGGAGTATGGGACATTCTGCAGGGAAGGGATGTTTCTATTCAGAAGGAAATGAGGAGCCATTTGCAAAATTCTTCATGTGGACTTTTGACAAAATCCAATTCCGTTGTGGCAAAGAAAAAAAAAATATTCAAGATAAAGAACTGAGAGGGAGTGGAGCTCTGACACACCCAAAGCTGTAAAACAACTTCCACCTGCCCTATGACCCCACTGAGCCTGGAGGAGCAACACAAGGACAGGGCACAGAGAGGAGCCAGTGGGGCAGGAGTGAGGAGCTCCTGGTGAGCTGGGCACTTTCTCCTTCATGTCCCTGACCTGCCAGGAGCCGCTTTAGGACATGGATCCCAAAGGAGCAAGAGGTACCAGGAAGCGCCGCTGATCTGCGCAGAGCCCTTTGCCTGCTGCTGCCCCACAGGGAACAGGTCAGTGGAATGTTGGCCTTCCTCCCTAGCCCACCTTCCTCTCCTGCAGCAGCTGCTCTGTTCCTGCCACCCTCTCCCGCTGACCCCAGGGCCCTCCCCAGCTCCTCTCTCTCCTCCTGTGCATCCCGTCTCTATCCTAATACTGAAATGGGCCAGAACAAACTTTCTAACACAATGCAGAGCATGAGGAAGCAGGAATTCTTGACCTGCACAGGACACAGAGGGATCTCTCCTTGTATTGTGTGTATGGTGAGACTTTACAACAGGGTGTTAATCCATTAGAACCACATGTAGGCATTAAATAGTTTTTCTTATCTAATACACAAACACCATTTTCCTAGAACTCACTTCCATGCATCCACCTCCTCCTGCAAGTCATTTTATGATCCTGGAGGTTTATTAAGCACGGTCTTTCTGGTGGTCATATTCAATGGATGCAGCCATATTAAAGGTGCCCTTGCCTTGAATTTTTCCTCTGGCCATGCACTCTGGCTTCCTGTTCCACAATTTGCCACAAAATCACTGCAGGCCTCCTTATCTGTTTCTGCACTGGTTCCTGCCATGTTTGTCATCCTGTGTGCCAGCCTTCACATCCTGTGAGAAACAACCACCCACTTTTTTAAATTTTAAATGGTTAATAAACCTTAACAGAAAGTGCAACAAAAGGACTGAATAATCAGAAGCAGGCCTGGGAGCTTCCCTCATGGCTGCCCACCACGTGTCTGGGTGATCTTCAAGATGGATGCTTCACCTCTGATACCCTGGGGGTTGCATCAGCTAAACCTGGCCCCTCCCAAAGTCTGTCAGTCAGCCCTTCTTTGTGTTTATTGCTGGAGCCTGCTCTCTTGCAACTTGACTCGAGGGTCAGGTGTTCTCATGCTGCACCTCTTCCCCCCCCAGCAACAAGCTTGTGTACACCCCTTCTTTCTACCTGTCCTAGATGGCTCAGGCTCTCTGATGGAAACAGGACAGAGGGGAGAGAAGGGGACTATGGGGAGAACAGGGGACATCTAAACAACAGACTACAATAACATAATTATATATCCATAAAACTTCTATTAATATTGACACAGTATTCATCCCTTAACTGTGAGACTCAATTATCTCATTATCCATCTATAACACATGGTTCTAAATTTTGGCCGCTTTGCTTTTGAACAACTTCAGAAGAACTGAAAATGTTTCTTTTCTCTGTTATTTATCAGCCTCCTGCCAAACAGCCAAACCCTCCCACCTCCCTCTCCCACCCCACAATTCCCACCGCCCTCCTCCCCTGCACATCTCACTCCTCCCCACTGAATCCTTCCCACTGCAGGCAGCTGCTGAGGAGCCACATGGTCCATCCCTGGATTCTCCAAGCACTGACTGGCCATCCACTCTGACCACAGCCAGGGGCCACATCCCACTGCCTGCCCAGCATCCATCCATGGAGGTGACCACCGTGTCCCCATCTCCTGCCTCACCCACTGAAGGAGATCATCTCTGTGAGACAGATGTCACCAGCGTGGCCATACACAGTGTGACCCTGCTCATCTGCCTCTGTGGGCTGGCTGGGAACGGGGCTGTCATTGGCCTTCTTAGACTGAAAAACTTTAACTCTAGATTCTTTGACTTGGCTGTCATTGACTTCCTCTTCCTCCTCCTTGCGGTCCCCTCCGCCCTCCTCCTCCTGGTGGAGGACGTGTCCTGCTCTCCTATCCTCCCCCTTCTGTACCTGAGTTTCCTCTTCCAGCTGTCAGTGGTGCCCCTGTACTGGGGGCTGTTCCGGCTGATATGCAGCAGCAATGTGCTGTATGTGTACAAGCTCTGCACATTCCACTGCTGCTGGGAGCTTCCCGAGCGCCTGATGTGGGTGGTGATCAGTGTCCAATACTGGGCCTTCTTTCCACTCTTCACTGTCATTCCCATGGTGACATTCCTGTGCCCATCACACCAGCAGGAGCACTGCAGGGCAGCTCTCATCTCCATGAACACCATCATCCTGCTCCTCTTGGCTGCACCCGTGGCCATTTCCAGCACAGTCGATTTCATTAAGGCCAAGTGGGGCTCCCAGCAGCAGGAACCTAAGAGGCGCGACATCGTTACCTTCCTCGTTGGGCTCTTCATGTTCCTCCTCACCATCTGGAATTTCCTGCAGCAGCTCGGTTACATGGCTGTGCCCTCCCAGGTTGTTTTCCTGCTCGCCTGCATCCACAGCAGCATCAAACCCGTCATCTACTTCTTGGTGGGGGGATGCAGGAGGCCCTGCTCTGTGGGGTCCCTCCAGCTCTCCCTCCACAGGGTGTTTGAGGAGCCAAAAGAAAAAACAGCCCGCAGAAATGATCCTGCCAGGGACACAGTGGTCTGAGCCTGCTGATCCCTTCCACTGCTCTGCTGAAGGACCCCAGGAAAGTAGCTGAGGGGCAGTCCTTGAGCCTCTTGATTAATCAATATCCACAGTATCACCCTCCCCATGGTGCTGTATTCCTGCAGGACAAAGGAGCATGGGCTTTGCCTTGGGTGATTTTTGTGGGATGCTCTGCAGGGAGCACATTGCAGCATGGCTTTCCTCCTCCCTCCTGGATCCACATGGCTCCAAGCAGTGCAGCTGGGCTCAGTGCTGTTCCCCAGCTCTATTCCCCATGGAATCACCCTCATGGCCTCGGCCCCAGGGAATGAACTCCCTCTCCTTTGCCTCAGCACATGAGTTCCATGGTGTTTTCAGGGAGATCCTGCCTGCAAAGAATGGCACACCTTCATCCCTGGGGACACACCCAGCACAGGGTGGCAGTGATTTCCCAAATCCCTGCAGGGCTGGTGCCTCTGGATGGCAGGAGAGGGGTTGGGATCACAGGGAGCATCCTTCCCCTTCTGTCCACCAGAGCCAGCCCTGCATTCCCAGCTGATGGGAAGGGACACCAGGTAGGGCTGCAGAGCTGGGGAGGGACAACATTCCCTTATCCTTTCCTTGGGAATTTGTCACATTCTTCAATTCCGGAACTGAATCCTTCTGAGTAAAGTGCAGCGTCGATAGTGAACTCCATTGAACTCCTCTGCCTGTATCCAGAAAGTACATGGAATATGGAATTTCCCATCAGCAGATGCTTGGACCATTTAATTGCACAGAAATTAGGGGGTTATGCTGCTCTTCTGCAGAATGGGGCCATCCATCCTCTGGTTCCCCAGCATCAGTGTCCAGGGAAGCCCTTGAGCACCTCCATCCTGAGCCTGGCCACCCTCAGGAGGAGCTGCACAGCCACTCTGCACAGCAGCTTCAGCCACAGTCCAGCCTGTCCTCATCTTTGTCATTCTGGAACCACCCCTCAATCACATTTGGATTCATGGTTTTTGTTTCTTTCCACTGTCGAAGATCCCACCTTCCGAATTTGTAGAATAAACAACATCCAGGCTTCCCTGCAGAGCCTGTCTCTGTTAAACAGTGTCCAAAATGGCTCATTTCCTTCTTTTACCCCATTCCAAAGCCTCTGGCTGGTCTGGGAGCAGGGCAGCTACCTGTCTCATACCAGAGCCCTTCCTAAGGCACGTGCCTGCAATGGCTGGGATGATGTTGGCACTGCCAAGAGCTCCTGATTCCTCCTGGGAGAGACCTGGGCAGCAGCCACAGCTCTTGCTCAGGGGGAAGTTGTCCCTCCTTTACCCACTGCCTTAAATCCAGGGGAAACCAACGTGCCACTGCTTCTGGAAAGGGAAGTGAAAGTGAAAACCATGTGTGGATTCAGGCTTTGGAGGCACACTTGAGGTTATACAGCTAAGGAGCATTTATTACCAGAGTTGTTAATAATTAACAGAAGAGTCTTGTATATCTAAGAGGGGTTTTCTCTCCCTGACTCCCATTTCCTGTCCATTGCAAAGACTTTCCATGGTGGGACCTCTTGTCCAGGGAAGAACAACTCAGCCAGGCCGTTTCTCCCAAGGCAAGTGCAGAAGGACCATTCTACTTCCATGTACTTTTTCTGCTTCCCAGCACCTTCCTTGTCTCCAGTGTCACCCAGGCCACTCCCTACCTGAGCTTCCTTTCAAAAGAGCAAGACTTCAAAGCAAAAGTTTTCCTGGTTGTCCCTGCCCATGGAAGAAGGAGAGATGGAATGAGATGATCTCTACTGTTCCTTCCAACCTGTCCTGGGGTGACTTTATGATGCTGAATTGTGTCCCCATTCACCTGTTTAGCCCAGAAATAGGTTTTGCCCATTTCAGACTGGTTCTTGAGCAAAGAGAGGGAGAGCAGATGCAGCAGTTTGTTTTCAGAAGCTGCGCTCACTCCTCCCCATTCCTGCTCCCAGACCGTGCTGTCTGCAGCACAGACATGCAACACACAGCACTCCTTTGCTTTTGGTATTTTTTTAACTAGCTGAGGCTCAGAAGTTCCCTGGACTGTTGCTTTCCTTTTGCTTGGAACTGTTCTGTCGTGAACAGCGGAAGAATTGCAGCACACAATATGCGTGAACAGCAAATCCCAAAGTTTATTGATAGCTCACACATGTTTATATTGGTGTTAATGAAGCTTATACATATTGCAAAAGCTGAGCTCATTATTGGTTAAAACACACTTAGATCAACCACACCTACTTCTATGCTCTAAGGATTATTTTGTTTCTATGTTTACATTCTTATAGCTACTCTACCTAGGCTATCTTCATTTTCTGGCAAGCGATTGTCTCTCCCATCTTCCTGTTTCAGCGAAGGTCACCATGACCTTTGTCAGTGATTGGACACTGGTTCCTTAATCCCCAGCTTGTTTCCCCTATCCTTATCCAACGGTATCACATCGAAGTGGCCTTTCTCAGCTAGCCAATTATCCACAAAGCTCTCCACATTTCCCCCATTTTTCTGTTGAACAAGCATGGTTTGATTAAATGCGGTAGCTATCATCTTTTGCACCATATTCTGTAAGCAGATACAAAAACATGGCAAAATTAATACTAACAACAAAGCTACAATAGCTACTACAATGCCAACCTTAACAATAGAGCGTAACCATGATCTTAAGCTTAAAGATTTGA